TTTGTTCAAACTTAAAATTAGTTTCACATGTGTCTAATCGATAGACATGTGTGTTTAAGTGATTGACACGTGTATTCTCCAAGTGTCCAAAGAGCGTTCAAGTCTTTAAAAAAAATTTAAAAATAGGACATGTTTTGAAAAGTGTCCAAAGAGTGTCGGTCTTCGACACGGACACGGCATGGATACATCAACTTCTTAGAAGTGTCCATACTTCTTAGGTATTAAACAAGAGAAACTCATCTCCAGCAACAAAAATTTGAACTATATAGAGAAGTGTCCATATAGAGAAGAACTTTCAAATTTTGTTGACTAACATATATTGACAAGAAAACTAGTAGTTCAAAGAATTAGGAAAAGGGAACAGACAAAAACAACCTCCATTCTCTCCACCGCATCATGACATGGGTACGCAAATACAGGAAGAAATAGCGAAGTTTTAATGACTTGGAGCAATTAGGTTAGGTTCAAGATATGGAAATAGTTTATTTAAAATATAATCAAGACGACTGGAGATTTTAATAGTCAATCATGTTTTACTTTCATTTGTGCACAGAAAAGCGTAATAAGCAAAATAATAACATATGCTGCTAACGACGGTAAAATAAAAAAAATGAAAAACCGGTATAGTACAAAAAATACATGATCATACACCAATGAAGTATTAAGTTTTTAACAATGGTATTGTTACATTTGAAAAGAACCACTTCTGCACTTACAATGTACATTAAATGGAAACACATATTTTCTCAAAAGAAGCATATATATATACAAATACAATACAATACACATAAATATTTATATATCAGTTCATAAGAATTAAGATACATAATGTTCACATGTCATACCAATGCTCATATAATGTAATCAATGACCAATTACTAAGATCTTTCAATTTTTCCAACTCAATAAAGGGATAACCTGATTCACATGATCTTGGAAAAAGCGTGGTAGCTCGAATTGGAGGGGCCCGAATGAGTGTTGGCCGGACGTTCGCCTGGACGACCGGGTGAAAGATTGTTTACTGCAGTTGTCACCTTTGTCGACTATCAGCCTCCTCACCGAACGACCGGCCGGACATCCGCTCGGACGACCGGCAAGATGAATTTCGAACCATTCAAGCCAACCTCATATTTGAGCTACCAAGCATTGCCGCATGATCTTTTATACATTCACAAGTGGCTATCTCATTAACAGCATGTTTGAGAATTTCCGACTTCTCTCATCTATTATGGAGTTAACTAAAACTGACTTCAAGATGGAAGCAGTTTTTGACCCATCTGTCAATGGGGAATCCAAAAAAAAAAAAAAAACACAAATTGATGATTCAATGAAGTTACAAGTGAATTTTCCTATACATGAGGTGGACAAGGCATGCAAAATCTGTAAAACACTCTACATACAGTGCACACCCTCTTGTAATTTCTTCCAAATTTTCACCCAATTTTCCAATTAAAGTGGTTAAAACTCAACCTCCTATTCTAATAACAATGCACCAAAAGGGAATGCAATATATCACCTTCTACAAACAATCAAATGTATAATCAATCTGGATTGTCTTCAACCACTCTTGTCATAAAGTATTGGTGGATTTAGTTTGATTTTCAAACTTGAGATGAAAAAAAATCACAATCACACATTTCACAATGTATTTGTGTGGTTTTCTTTTTGCTATTGTTATCTACTTCATAGATTTGCTAAATCATCATGCATTTACAAATTAGCATGGACAGTTTACACACATGAACACAAAGATGTGTGACAAAAAAGAAGAAGAAGATTGATTCACCAATTGAAGTCTGCGAGAGAATGATCGATTAGAAGCGAAATGAGTAAACCATATTTCCTGGAACGCAAAGCCCGCAGTCCGAAACGAGAGCGTGTATGTAGTGGAACAACTCTCCATTGTTGTAAGCGAGGGAGCGGTGAGTGTCCTTGTGCTGAGTGTCCTGATGGGCCCAGCCCACTTTCAAGCATGATTAAACACAGGGCATCTATGTTACATGGACTCGGGTACGGGTGTCGGGTGCGGGTATGTATCTAGAGGTCGGACTCATCAAATTATAAATTTAAGGATGCGTGGACTCGGCAAAAAAAATGTTATATTTTTATATTTTTAATAAAGTATGTGAGATAAAATGGTGCTATATGTAATTTACAGTGTCAAAAAGACATTTATAGCAATTATACAACAATATAAACATATAATAATAGTGTTATATACAATTATATAAGAAGTGTCCGTTGAAAAGTAGTCGACACATATCCCATACCCTTGTCCGAGTGTCGGGTGTCCAACACGGGTATTTCATTTATTTTGAAGAGTCCGTGTAACATAGTTCACTTTTGTGCCTCAGATTCTCGTTCTCTCCTGTAGTCATAAACTGAATCAAAACCAACTCTTCCAACCCTCCTATTTCATCGAGTTCTTTTACTCCTACCTCTCTTCTTTTCTTTCAGAGCCATAGGTTGTAACGAGGGGACGTTATAAATCCATCCCAGTGGCACTAAAGCTGCAAGAAACTGTATCAAAATTCCCATAGGCAGGCTTGAGTAATCACCTGATCTTATACCAAGAAGAGAAGCCAATCCAATGCCCAAAAACCCGCTAACAATTGATGATAAACACAATGCCGAGGCCAAGAAAGAAGTGAGAGAACCTTCACAACCTGTTGGAGCCAAACTTGCAAAAAGCACTAGGAATGGCAAGACTTTAAATTGTGCAATGATTTCTGCTAAACCCGAAAAACAAAGGGCAAACACGTCATTTGGAATTCCCAGTTTCAGATTGATCTGCTTCACTAACATGAGGTCAAGAAGAAGCGAAGACGCGTATAGAATTTGGACTATACCGATTAGTTTTCTCATGGAAATGCTTTTCCAGAAACGGTCATAGATTAAAGTTATGGAAAGAAGCATCAATTGGCCAGTCACTCGAGACATCCCAATTATTGAAGGGTCGAGATTTAGGCATTGTGTATAAACTTTGCGTTCAGGTTGGAGTGAACTCTACGACGAGAGAGAGAGAGAAAGGCATCAAGAGAGAGATAGAGAGCGTGAGATATATCATCAAATTTCTCTGTGATAGATAAGTGTGGGTTAAGGGACCTTAAACATTAAAAAATAATATTGTGGATCTCTTCCATTACTAAAAATAGGGGAGGAACCTTAGACTAATTTTTTCTATTTTTTTCTACTTTTTTAGTTAAAAAATCAAAAAATACACTTATATAAATCATTCCAAACAAGCACATTAATTGGTTGGGCGAAGGACAAAGTTGACCCATCCATGCATCCACTTTTGCACCTCGCACTGTAGTATTCAGGAGCCGAGACCACTGAATAATTTTTTCCATGAAAAATCTCTCAATTTGATGCCTGAATCAGATCCACTGTTGATCCTATGAGAATTGTTTTTAGCTACTGTCCTCTTGAGAGACCTCAGATGCTGCTCGTTCCCAGAAGGTCTCAAGAATTTTGCTACCTCAAAAAATTACCCCAAAAATGAAATGTATCAACCAGAATAAATCTTTATCCACACATTTCATTTTCGAGGTACTTTTCTGTGAGTGATCGCACTTGGAATGTGAGAATTTAGAGATTTCTCGCTGGACTGAAAATCTAGGCCCATATATCTTCAACTGACAAATTGGGAGGTAATTCTTTTACAACAGCAATCAAAATTCAAAATGATGCACCAGCTACTTTCTTCAAAATGTTTTCTAAAACTGTTTTCTTTGGAGTACTTTCTTTGACCAGTGTTCTCTAAAACTGCTTGAATCAAACCAGACCTTTCACTTCTTATGTTACATAAACTCGGGTACGGGTGTTGGGTACGGATATGTATCTAGAGTTCGGATTCATCAAACTATAAATTTAAGGATGCGTGGACTCCGCAAAAACAAATGTCATATTTTAATGTTTTTAATAAAATATGTGAGATAAAATAATGCTATATGTAACTTACAATGTCAAAAAGACATTTATAGTAATTATACAACAATATACACATATAATAATATTGTTATATACAATTATATAAGAAACGTCTGTTGAAAAGTAGTCGACACATATTCCATACCCTTGTCCGAATGTCAGGTATCCGACACGGGTATTTCATTTATTTTGAAGAGTCCATGTAACATAGGTCCTGTGCCCTGGATAATAAGATATGCAAACTTTCAGCAGCTATATTGAATAGGAAAAGGGACAAAGGATCTCCTTGCCCTAATCCCTTTTGAGGGCTGAACTCTTCAGTTGGTGACCCATTAACAAGTACCCTGGCAGAGGTTATACATTCCTTAATCCAGCTGGACCATTTAGCACCAAATCCAACCTTTGAAATCATAGAGAATAAGAAGCTCCAATTAATGGAGTCATATGCCTTCTCAAAATCTAACTTAATAATTAGCCTATTCTTTTTAGCTTTTTTCCATCCATCTACCACCTCATTAGCAATTAATACCCCATCTAAGATATTTTTTCCACTTAAAAAAGCTGATTGTGTTTCACTATTGACACTTGGCAGCATTGATTTTAACTTGTGGGATAATAGTTTCGCTATAATCTTATAGATTGATCCAACCAAGCTTATATGCCTATAATCCGCTAGTCCTTTAGGATTCTCCTTCTTAGATATGAAGGTAATAAAAGAGCTATTTATACCTTTAACCAGCTTACCATTCTTGTGAAATTCATTCACAAAATTTATTACATCCTTCTTTATCACATTCCAGAATTTTTGAAAACACCCCATATTAAAACTATCTAGCCCTGGTGCTTTGTTCCTATCACGTTCCATCACTACAGCTTTAATCTCAGTTTCTGTAAACACTGCTTCCAGCATATCAAAACCACAACTTCCTTGTATTGATTTAAATGACCCTCCTAATTCAGGTCTCACTGCCCAGTCCTCAGCAAAATGGTCTTTGAAATGCTTAAAGACTTTTTGTTTCACTTGCTAAGGTTCCTCATAGAGCACCTCCCCCCTAGCTGAAGATGGATTGTTGCCCCTCAATGAGATCCAGTGGATTGTCTGTTCTGGTAACTCTGAAAATGAGGAAAATAAAATAAATAGATTAATTTTTGAATCTTGCAAATTGTGTTGTTTTGTTTCCCAGAAACAGATGATCCGAGTAGTGAAATTAAATTTTTTTTAAGTTGCTCTTTTCTTTTCCTCATCTTTCTCAGCAACCAAATGAAGCACTTGGAAGCTTCCGCCAGATGCAATATTTTCTTCCTTCTCTTGCATATTTAGTTCATAACATAGTCCACACACTGTTTTGAATCTACAAAACATGATTGCTTCAGAATCTGTTTAATAAAACTAATATGTGCTGTATGACTGTATCTCACACACATTTGCTTAGATTGCCTTTGCTATGAATATGATATTAACTGCCATTGATAGTCATAGTCATAGTCATAGTCATATTGGCTGCAACTTTCTTAGCCAAATTCTTATAATGATAGGAGATGTCACCCGCAAACAAGATGTTCAAAAAGCGCTACGCGGCGCAGATTGTGTTTTTCACCTTGCTTCATATGGCATGTCTGGGAAAGAAATGCTCCAATTTGGCCGCGTGGATGATGTGAATATAAACGGAACTTGCCATGTCTTGGAGGCTTGTGTTGAGCATGGGGTTAAGAGGCTTGTTTATGTGAGCACATACAACGTTGTGTTTGGGGGTAAGGAGATTATCAATGGCAATGAAACCTTACCTTATTTCCCTCTTGATGATTATGTTGATCCATACAGCCGCAGCAAATGTATTGCTGAACAGTTAGTTCTAAAGAGCAATGGGCGTCCTCTCAAGTAAGTAATTTTATTTTCACAAGTTCACCAGTCGGGCTGTCTTTGACATCTTGTTTAGTAGGTGTGCTTCTCACTTCTTTAACTATATTTTTATGACTCTTGTTGTTCTTGGCTTCAAGTTTCAACTGGTTTAAAAAATAAATAAACAAATAAATTGTCACTTTTATGTATTAGCAAATGGGTTGGTATGTGTCAAGCATCTACTAACATGAATATGAAATTTTCCATAATATATTTTTGAACTATAGAAGTAGCATAGAGAACAATGTTGTGATCTATTAAATAGAGGTTAAAAGAGTATGCATAACTTGTGATCCTAACAAGACACCTTAAATAAACATGAAAAAGCAGTACCTTGAATAGTGTAAAAATGATTCTGGTGTGCATTGCCTCAAGCAGATCTATAAGACATTGCCTTTGTTTAGAAAAGTCATTCAACTTTCTTATGACTCATTGAATTCCCTTCTTTAATCTTGCAAATCCCAGCAATCTGAGTAAGAAGACAGTGTTTCAGATGCAATTCTTACTAGACCCCTACTACAAGTACAGGGTTCTTTGTGGAAATTATTGTTGACTGTTGAGAACTTCATCTTAGTTGTTTTCTCTCTTCAATTTACTTATTTAGGTTATATTGAAGAATTATGCATTCTCACTTTTCAAAATTTTGTTTGTTATCTGGAAAATAGCATAAGAAAGTCAAACTCAGATTGATGAAAATATCCTCCCTTTTTCAGATTTGCAGTATCAAGTTCTTCGCGCCTTTAGTGAGAGAATCTACACATGAATTTCAATGCTTGACCTGACCTCGTCTAGTTTGTAAGATTCTGATTTATGTACGATGTTTCTATGCTATGTAGGAAGAAGAATGGAAATCTCTATACATGCGCAATTCGTCCGGCTGCTATCTATGGACCAGGTGAGGAGAGACATCTCCCCCGCATTATAAATCTTTCGAAGTTAGGTCTGCTGCCATTCAAAATTGGTGAAGAAAGAGTGAAGTCAGACTGGGTTTATATAGATAACCTTGTTCTGGCCCTAATATTGGCTAGCATGGGACTCTTGGATGACATTCCCCAGAGGGAAGGACGTCCAATAGCTGCTGGTCAACCATACTTTCTATCAGATGGTAATATTCAATCCATTTGCTTAGAAATATTTTACTTATTTCATGGCAACTAGAGCTATTAAAGTTGAGTAATGCTATACAAACTAACAAAACTTACAAAGTCACATGATTTGTAAGAAAAGTTAGTAAGATTTGTTAGTTTGTATAGTATTGTCCATTAAAGTTATTGATTAATCCTTGATTCCAAGGAAGGACTACTTGAATGTGAAAAACTGATTAGTGACTAGAGTGAACTGTGTTTAATAATTAACTATTTTCCATGCAATGGTTTAATATTAGGCAATGATTTACAGGGTCTCCAGTCAACAGTTTTGAATTCCTCCGCCCACTACTCCAGAGCCTGGAGTACGACCTGCCAAAGCGGTCATTAGCTGTCTCTCATGCTCTTGTTCTGGGAAGGATATTCCAGTTGGTCTACACTATCTTATATCCATGGTTGAACCGATGGTGGCTTTCTCAACCATTGATGCTTCCTACTGAAGTGCACGAGGTTCACTTCTAAATTACCTCGGTTTCTGGTAGAATATAATTGTAGACTTGTAAAGCATTCCTTACTGCTTACAAAAACAACAAACCTTGGGTCTTGGGGGTGGGCTCCCTTCAAAGTTCAGGGATCGAAACCTCTTAGGTACTAACAATTCCTTGGGGCCATCGGACTAGGGAAAAACCCTTGAATTAATGGTGGTGCACTTGCAGGAAACTCCTTGCCGAGGGCCTGTGCATCCCTAGGGATTAGTCGGGCTTTGATCCTTACACCCAGTGCCAATCCAAAAATAAAATAAATCAGAGAGAAGGGTTATCTCCCTTATGTTAGGGGTTTTTTCCCATATATTATAGTAGTACAGTCCAAAGTACAAAAGTATCCTTACACAACGCAACATAACATAAAATCACTTCCTACTTGGATCTTATAAAGGGTCATCTATATACCCCTCTACTAGTTTCAATTTAAGTGGTTAATGCAACATATCGTCACTTTGATGCATACCTCCTATTGCCATTCGGCAGTTTCCTAAAATTCTACAGTTCTCACTTGGCCTAGTTGCAATTGATCTTGCTCCTTCCCACATGGTTTACCATAATTCCTTCCACCCCATCTCAACACCCACATTTCCAGACAAACTTGAAACATTCTCTAACATCTGTTATTAGGTTTTGCAAGTTTCACTACTGTGTACTGAACCATATCTGATATATTTGTGTGTGTTTTATTTCTTGACAGGTTGGGGTTACTCATTACTTCTCTTTCCTAAAAGCAAAGGAGGAGCTTGGCTATGTCCCTATGGTGAGTCCTCAGGAGGGCATGGCTACAACCATATCATATTTTCAAGAGAGGAAAATGAGAAGTTTGGATGGGCCTACAATATATACATGGATGTTTAGTGTAATTGGAATGACTTTGCTATTTATTGCTGCTTATTGGCCAACTTTCGGACCTGTGTCGTTTTTAAGAGATTTCTGTCTCTTCTTCTTCTGGTCTATGTGGGTAATGAGAATGGTGTTCATTTTGGCTACAGCAGCTCATATTGGAGAGGCTATGTATGCGCGACATCTGGCAAAAAAAGTGGATCCTTTGAATGCAAGAGGCTGGTTTTGGCAGACTCTTGCACTTGGGGTTCTTTCATTGCGTTTCCTGTTGAAGAGAGCCAGGAAGTAAGTTGGAGCATCTATTGTTGATATAATCTTTTTAGCAGCTGTGTTTACTACTGTATAAGGGCAGTTCCTTCATAGGCAGTAAAATAGGACACAGCTAGGGGTTTAGATTTTTTTGGTAGTGTTGCAAAATGTGATCAGAGATCCTCTTTTTATTTCTATGAACAACCACTGTCTCTCTATCAAAGGAGATTTGATTTGATTTGATTTGATCTAATCTGCGGGAGTATTTAAAGCCCGAAGTGAATCCACCTAGTTTGAACTTTGATCGCTGAGAAAACAGGTATGTAAAAGAGTAGATCTACCTCTGCTAATTTGCCCTGACCCAGCTCAACTCTTCGACCTCAAGCCCAGGGCTAGTAAGCTGAGAAACCATGCTGTTTGCCTGGGTGTTAACAAGATGGGATTAATGAGCTAGAATTTGAGTTTGAGCAAGCACACCCGGGAGCCTCAAAATGCATCCTTTAAAAATAATAATAATAATAATAATAAATTATTGGACATTCCACCTTTCATAATTTTGTTTAGAGTAATGCTCTATACAAACAAATTTTGTGTTCAAAAATTCATACGAATGATGTATCTTATTTGTATCTTGTTTTTTGAGGAATCTCATTTATATCTATTTATTGGGAGTTGACATATCCATCGTTTAAGTATAAGAATCTTATTATCACATCATTCTTTTCTTAAATTTTGTGAGAAAATTATGTTTGAATATCACTCCTCTTTAATATCATTTTACCATGTTAAATTATTAAAAAGGACAAAAAAATCCTCCCTAATTCAGGCCAGTCTCTACCTAGATCTTCCTGTCATGGCCCCACGCTTTCTCACTGTTCGGCATCAACCAGACCCCTCGCCAACTTACCACCTCCCCTATTGCAAATCGACTTATCCCTCCTTTCCTATTGCAAATCGACTTATCCCTCCTTTCTGTGCAAGTCTATCTCTCCCCCTCAAGGCTCTCTAATGGCAAGAGTGGGGGTTAGGGTTCAAGTCTGAGAGAGAGAAGGTGGCGTTGGCAGGCCGGATATGTGGAGGGTGTGTAAAGGTAAGGTGAACTAATTTTGGGTGCATCAAACAAAAATCAACAAAATTTAAATTTGAGTGCCGAAAGGTACAGGATATCCAACAATTTTTTCGTGATGCATTTAGATACTTCATTAAATATTACCTCTGACAAACTGTGCCAACCAAAACAACTGGGAAAGCAAGACAAAGGCATTGAAATGGTCACAAGTTCTGCAACAAATCTTGGATGAAGAAACTTCAATTTACTAGTACGACAGTATTACCCAAGCAAAAACTACCAGGAGAAATGGGCTAGTATCATTAAGGAAACCTAAAACTTGATCACTGGAGAAACAAAACAAGGGAGACAGTTTGGTACCATTTAAATCTAATGGACAACAACAGAGACTCTATTGTTCTCAACAAAAAATAAATTAAAAAGAAAAAAAAGAGACTACAACAGTCAAAACACCGACATACTACAATCACCATGAGTTGTTCTATAGAACCTTACTAACACAACTAATTAATAGCTTATCAACACAATTGGAGAAGGGCACCTACTGTCACTACAAGGTTGGCTACTCCTAACAAGACCAAGGTCACACTGCAAAGTCAAGTCACTAGTTGTCTTTATTCTGCACCACTAAAATTACACAACGTGTGCACTTAAACTTACAAATGGGGTCTCTCAAAGGGTGAACGAAAGCCAAGCTCCACAAAAAGATCACCTCCATGGCATGGTCAACATGCCTTGGGGGTTACTGTTGTTGTAAGCTCCTGTGCTGTGGTTGAGTGGGCTCCCAGGTCCACCAGATGACTCACTGAGCGGCCCGTGCGAGGGCGGGCTGGTAGCACTCGTTGCAGCAGCAGCAGAACCACCACCACCAACTGGGAAGAGCTTTGATGGAGCTGACCACTATTCCATTTGATTTAATGCCTTTGATTCCTTGCCACCATCAGCGATGAAACTGCCCATAATCCACTACAATGGAGGAAACCCATTATTATTGTCATTATATAGACATAGCTGTGTTAAAATGAAACTTTGGTTGAGAAATGTCTAGTGGTGTAGACACCCCATTTTTGACCATCCTCAAGACTTGGACGTCACCGTTGGAACGCCCGGTGATCATCCAAGTTTGTGTTCGTCTTGAGTTCCCGGAGGTCTCGGCTCGCGCGCCTTGCCTCAGGATCTCTCGACTCGACTGTTTAGTGTCTGGTTTTGCACCAAACACTTGTGTTTTGCCTTGGAGGGGCAGGGAATGCCTTGTGAGGCATCCCCACACATCACCGGCCATGGCCAGAGGCCACCGACTGGTGTTTTGTTGCCATCGGCAATATATATTGCCGGTCGGCATTCTTTGTTGCCGGTCGGCAGTCAATTTTGTCAAAATGGCATTTTTGAGTAGCCGACTACTGTTCATCTGCTTTTGCAGATATTTTAATACAGCTGTCTTGCATTTGGCTCCCCTCCATACACGTGTATGGAGGGATCTCTCTCTTTAGAAGCTTGTCTTGTAAGCTTTACAAGACAAAAAAGCTCTATAAGAGGAGCCCTCCTCTCCTTGGTTTAGGTTAGAAAATTTAGACAGCCATATTAGGGTTTTGAGTTCTAGGGTTAGGATTGATACACATTCTATCTCTATACCTCTCTCTTTTGGCCTTTGTGTGTGTCTAGGTGCATTTGTGTCTTACTATTGCACACAAACACATAGTATTGCACCTTCCCTTGGCAACTGAGGTCCTAAGAGGTTGTTCTTGAGGTTCTTGGGTGGTTTTGAGCTTGAGGAACCAGCTGGTCCACCATTTTTGAAGAAAGTCTTCAAGGGTAAGAAACTAGTCCTTTTATTCCCCATTTTTGCATCTTGTTTTTGCCTATCTTAGAACTGTTTTTGTGCTTAGTATATAACATAAAAAAGTTCTGTTTTTAGTCCCTATAAATAGTTTGTTTAGAGTGTTTTGTGGTTTGGAGGTGTTTGACCCCTCTTAGGCCTTGAGAGGCCCCACTTTGTACTATTTTGAGTGAGCTCCAGGACCTTGGTGTTTGGGCCTCCTCACCACTGAAATCTTGAGGGATTTCAGAGGTGAGGATGGTGCCTTGAGGTCCTAGGGAGGAGAGGGCCACCCCCTCTCCTTGTTGTCCTTGAAAAGGACCATTTTTGGCCTCTTGAGGGAGCACCTAGCTAAGCTTCATGTTGACCATTCCTTAGCTATTTTTTATGCTTATTATGTAATAATATGCCTTTGTTTTTTGTTGGTTTTGGTACACCATGCATGCTTAGCATACCTACCTTGTAATGCCATGTTTAGGCCTTAACATGCCTTAGGTTGTAAACCATTATTCAAGCATGTTTTAGGCCTAGCTTTGTGAAGCTTTTGTGCTTATTTTGTCATGTATGAGGTCTGTCCATAGTTGTTTGGGTCGACTTTGCCATGCATTATATGCCCCCTTTGCATTTTGGCTTGTTGGCCTTAAGTGTGTGAGTGTGTAGCATGCATTACTTGCCTTATGTTGACAGTTTGACACCATTTATGGCATCATTTCAGTCCGCTTTGCATGCTTGTATGCTCGCCTTGGATGCCCCTTTGATGCTTTATGAGCTTATGTGGTATGCTCCTTGAAAGTGCATTTGTGCATACTTTTGAATTCAAGCCATTTAGATGCCATCTAAATGGTCTTTTGGGCTTTGTTTTATGTGCTAAAACTCTGTTTTTGGTCAGTCATTGTGCATGCTTTTGATTTTGAGCCATTTAGATGCCATCTAGGTGTCCCTTGGGTGTTGTTTAGGTTTGCACTAGACCTATTTTAAGTCCTCTTAGCCTTGTAAGGCTTGGTTGATTT